GCTGTAAATGACTGCATCTAGCCTAGCGGAGAGACCACTTTCCGTAACCTCCACCTTCAGTTCCCGATTTGTTTGCTCACGCTCGGCTCGCCCACTGTTGTCGTACAAAAGTTGCAACACGGCGCTTCGTGCCTCTGTGTAGGCTCTGTATTCAATGTACGGAACGTAAGCCTTCATTTCCATGTCATGATACGTGCATTTCTTTGCTGCAGTCTCTCTTACCATTTGTGTTGTCGATTCCAGAGATTGTTGAAAAAAAATTAAAAACAAGTCCAAAATTATAGATATTTATTAAATTTCCATTTTGGTCACGACGAGCAATGTTTGGGATGTTATGGTTATTTTGGTGTAGGGCATTTATAATTTGAAAAATAACAAATAGTACGACATGTGGATTTTCCTCGTGTCCTAGTAGCATAGATTATTCAAATGAATGTGTGTATCTGTGTGTGACGCCGTGAAGGGAGATGAAGGTGTGCTTCGCGTGTTGCAGACGGCGCTGCATTGGGGAGCGAAGCACGGCAACGAGCACGTGATCAAGCTGATCGCCGGCACGCACCGCGCCGACGTCAACGCCAGGACGGTAAGCCCCCGCGCCTCTCTTGCAATACGATAGTCGTGTACCCCCTACGGAGGCGCCGTTGGCGCAGGCTGGAGGCGGAACCAATGGTTGGAAGCGCTTTTCAATTTGACAAAATTGTTTCGCTTGTGGAAAAAATACTTAATGTAAATGCGAAATTGTGTTATTACAGTAATTACATAAGAACTTTAAATAATGGCAAGTATAATATTTATGCCATTTTATAATTATTATTGTAAGTTTATTTAATGGCGCATTAATTTAACATATTGCTCTATTTAACCTTGTGATCATCATGGAATTAAAATGTTTTATTTACGATGCAGCAAAATTGAATTATATTTATGTCATTTATTGAAGAAATATATTGTTAACCGAATTTGTTGGACTGCTTCCTTTAGCCTCAAATAAAAACTTAAGTATGTGTCTGAAGGAAGTTGAAATTTTAAAATATACTAAATCATTGTAGTGATTCTTTCAACGAAAACCTTGAACATGTTATATTTAAATATATCGACATTTTCAATTTTCCTTAGAGTTTGTCTCTATAACCCGCAATATGGCAGCCTCCTACAACAGTATAATTTCAAGTTGCCTTTTCATATACAATTGCCTACAATTTAATAAGATTGTCTGAGAATAAATGTTACAATCTTCTAGGGCATATTCGAATGTCAAAGGTGTTGCACATGTGACATTTTCCCTTCAGTAGAAAGCAATTTGTCATGCACTGGTACCTAGCGGATCACGTTTGAACACAGTCAAAGAGATTTCGTGTACCCGCCAAACACAAATGTATGGTAAGTTGCCTATCAATCACTTGCAAATATCTCTTGTGTAACTTCGTTACATGCGATTTCTCACCAAACTTTCTTTGGCAAAAAGTGATCAGATTTGACCCTTTTATTTGCCCTAGAAGATTGTAACATGTATTCGGAAGTACCATGTAAGTAGAGATCAGTGCCTCAACCGCGTCTCGCGGTGCTGCCAACCGGCGACTCTGAGAACTAGGCCCGCTCACGTAGAATTGTTTTTTTCTCTGTTGCAGCACGGGGTGAGTGAGACGCTTCTGTTGCGGAAACGACGTCGCAAGATCGCGACGGCGGCGAACGAATGGGGTGGAATGGACCGATGGGAATGGACCGGCTGAGTTTAGCACAGAGCCAGCATTGCCCCTGTATCTGCTGCGACTCTGAGGCCGTAGGGTTCGAGTCCTGACAGTGGTGTATATTCGATACTAGCTGTATAGCTAGTTCAACCACCGTCTGGGGGAGAATTCTAGCGACAGGCTGCTTCGTTGTTTCCTCGATCAACAGCAGGCGAATGCCCGAGCAGTACTTTAACAAACAGGCCACAGACCGCGTGCAATCTTTCTTTCCTCGTCCTTGTTTCCTCCTCTGCCCTTACGCACATTCACACGCGCACGCGCACGCGCATGCCGCACTACCACACATGTTTGGAGAGCGGTCGGGAGCTTAAAGCCTCTCCCGACGGGGGTGGGCTCCATTGAGGAGATACCTGGAGGATTAGAAACTGACGTGTACGGATAGGTCGGCGCCGGATCGCACTGTCCAACGGGGAAACAATCACCGCTACCACCCGGAATAAGCATGTACTACACTAACGGGACTACTGCTCATAGTAGTTGACGTGTCGGGAAAAATCAAATAATCAAATAAAGTATTAATGTCGTGTGGATGGAAAAGAAAAATACCAAACTCACCTGATGACAGACAATATTGATCTCTTGGTTGTTTTATATGGATTTCTGAAAAGGTATGCACATTTAACTCCATTTATTTAAGTCATTTACCAGACCACGTAGAATTTTTGCACAAAGCAAGCTCCATGGGCAGGTTTTCTGAAGCCCTCCCGTATCCCCTGTCTCTCATTCCGTCATTTCTCCGCTGGATAGCGAGATCCACCACCGATCTACCGTCGGCTAGCGGGGTTTTCCCTCAACCAGGTATCTCCTACCAGCGGGGCACAGCCCAGCCAGGACACGCTCTAAGTTCCCGACCGGTCTCCTGGCGTGTGTTTGGTAGTGTGTATGTGTGAGGGAGAGGATAAGAATAGGAAGAGGAAAGTGAGATATCGCGTGGTCCGTGGCCCGTTTGTTAGGGTACTGCATCGGCATTCTCCTGGTGGAGAGACCGAGGAAAACTACCGATTAGAGCAGCCGGCTCTAGAATTCTCTTCCAGACAGCGACTGAATTTGACCTAACTGACAAGCTAGTGTCGAAAATTCTGCCACCGTCGGAACTCGAACCTAGGACCTCCCGGTCAGAGGCACTGCAGTGACATCAGTTAATGCACTGAGCCTCGGGTATTGGACTTCTCTGCGGAAAAACCGTGGTCGGCTGTGTGGTTTACCCCCACCACACAATATTCTTGCTGCGATTGGCCGAATGTGTGATGATGCAATTATTCTCGCGAAATACTGCAAATACATCTCTCTCTGCAACTTTATGAAAGATTTCTTACGACGAAAAATGTTGTTTATAATGCTGATTAATAAAAATAAAAATAAAATATTTTCACTCTATTTAATGGGAGGTTGCATATACCGTAATTAACATTTTCTTACTCGTCAGCGGAAAACTTGAAAATATGGCGAAAATTTATAGTTCATAAATCTATGTATCAGCGTATTAAAATAAAATTTAAATTTGTCAAAATAATACGCAGTTGTAGTCAATCCAAACATTTAAACGGAGGGGAAACGAGACTACGTGTCGTACCGGACAAAGCTTTTCTGCGGAGGGAAAAGGAGAACAAAATATGGATGCGTCTGACATAAAATTTTGGAGTGTCGCGGGGCGCAGCGGGCGCTGAGCGATGGAGGTATCTCCCGCTCCCTCCGCCACCGCATCTCCGCAGCCCCTCC